TCCGCAAATTTTATATAATAAATTTATATTTAAAATTAAGTATATTTATTGATTGAATTTAAATGTGATAGTATTTGTGATTTATTAATATTCAATATGTTTCAAATTGTTAACTTATTTTTTATAAATAATTTAGTAAATAAAATATTATATAGCTAATAATTTTTATATAAATTAATTATTAAGTAATAATGATCATGTTTAAAATTATAAAATAGATAATTTTTTTAATAAATTTAAAATAGAAATTTTTTATTAAATTAGATTTTATAATAGATTTTATGATAAAATTAATGTAAGGGGTTTTTAAGGAAGTTAAGTTTAGTTTAAAGTAGGAGGATTTTTACATTTAATTTTTTTAATAACAAGTTGAATGGATTTGTCTGATTTTTTATTTTTTGTCACGCGAAAAAATCTTTTTCATTTCTTTAGAAATGGATTTAATTTCCCAAAATTTTCTTTTTGTCTGTTCGGTGGCCGAATCTTCTCCTAAATTTTACGGAACCTGGGGAATCAACGGTCGTCGTCGGGGCAATTCCTTATTCAGCGAAGAATCTGTGCGAACCCTAACACACACTAAGACGACGACGACGACGACGACGACGACGACAGAGACGAAGAAGGGTATTGGGGATCGGTAATGGATCCAGAGCAGACGTTTATTAGGGTTCAGGAGAGGTTCTCTCAGATCCTTACCCCGAAGATTAGGGCTTTTTTGGAGTACACCTACCTCTTCGTCGCCATCACTTTGTTCTGCATTCTTCTCGTCATGCACGCCAATTACGTTCAACAGGTATTCGGAATGTTTCTTCATTAACGACTCTAAACTTGAACCCGTGATTGAGTTCTTCACGGGTATTGCTGATGGGTATTCTAATATTTGAAATTTAGTTGTGTTGATTGAATTTCCGTTTGCTTGATGTTAGTACAAAAAGAGTCTTGAACTAGGGCTAGATTTGGCAAGACAGCATAATTGAAGATCAAAGTTCTTTGATGTGTTTCCGGGAGCCTCTGATTTCTCAAGCAGTGTTAGAATCTTGTTTGATCAAGAGGCCCTAAAGCATACTTATTGATAACTAATACTTTTAAATTCTGTCGATGTTTCAGTTTGGATCTTAGATAGGATTTTGTGTTTTATTTGGCAGTTAGTATGAAGATCGTGGATCTATGTCGATCCAAGTTTAAGAATTTCTTTTCTCTTTTGTTTCTTTAAGAAGTTGATGCTGGAAGGTGGGATTCGGGTTAGTGCTAGCCGAACAATCTGATAGAGAAGATCTAAGATGTCTATACTTTTGAATCTTATGTAAGGCCACAACCGTCATATCGATGTCGATGCCACATGATGACACTTTGTTCTTCAATTTCGCCCTTGTCTGGTTTCTTTTGGACCTTGTTTCTCATTTGTTATGTGATGTTAATTAATTGTCGTTTCTGGGCTTCTTGTATGAGTTGCTTTTAGAATTTTACTGTGGTGGACCAATAGAATTTCTTATACGAAGCACTGTTTTGTGCTAAAGTACTTGCAGGCTTTTAAAAATGCAAAGCGTTATAAAATTTGGAAGTAATTTCAATGCAGGCTCTCTGTTGGTTTCTACTTCGAGAGTTTTTTGTTGCCTCCCTTCCTCCAGATGCTTCTACTATGTTTGGTTTCTTCTCTTGTGTGACCTTTTAACGTGCCTATGTATGCGATAACTAAATTCTCGAATGTTTTTCTGCAAAGCCTGGTTGTTCAAGTGAGGTGTCGGGAGTTGAGCTAGTTGAAGTCCAGCTTATACAAATAAAGGTATGTACCTGTTTTACTACACAGCCTCTGCCATCTTGCTGGGTTTATGTTAACTATGGGAATAGACCTAAGCATGCCCAGATTCAGAATCTCTTGAATTTCCTAACTGATGAGTGATGAGATGACCATTTAGAGGTCCCTTTATAGAATTCAGATTGGAGTAGATGTCATTTGTATTTATTATGTAGTTCTTTATAACACCCACTGCAATATCTTGTGTTCTGTGGTTCAGATAACAAGTACAGGGTTGTGGTCGCGCGATGATGAAAGTACCGCTGCAGATATTTCTGGCATTAAAGTTGGAGCTGAAATGTTAGAAGTTCCAAAGGTTTATCAAGGTGATTCTGCACCTTGGTTTAGATAGAATGCATGTTGGAGGAAACTAGCTTCGAGAGGTATAGGAGACTGATGCTGAAATATTTTGCCATCATGCAGAATGCTCTGCCAGTGAAGAGAATGCGGGTGATATACTCTTGAAAGCTGATAAGGAAGAGCCTCACAGTAGTTTTTCCGTGTCTGCAAAAGAGACCATCAAAGCAGCAATACTTCACTTTTCCAGAAAGTGGTATAGGCGCATATCTTTCATTTTAGAGCATACATTACAGATCCTCAGAGGTATTAGAAAATTGTGGGTGAGTTGACTTCAAATGAGGAAGTATAAAATCGACTTCCTTTTTTTTTTTCAGGATCATTTACTTTGGTTCCTGTCCTCTTTGTTTACTATTTCTCTGTTATTTCAAATTATGGATGAGAAGTTCTGGTTAATTCCCTTGAGTGGTGTTCTCTTCGAAATGAAATAGAGAGGGATTATTAGACTATTTGGGATTATTAGCTTAGGAAGATTCTTTGTGTAATTTTCACCTCGTCTTGTGGGATAAAGGAATTAATCTTGCAAGGTGAATCATAAGCTCTTTAGAGATATGTGTTTTTGGGTAGGCTGGTTGTTTGGGTGACTACTGGCTTACTATCTTGACTTTAGATATTGAATAAAACATTTTTATTTTTCTTTTCACTGCTTAAATGCAGAACCTCATAGGCGTACCATTAAATCTTGATGTGCCCAAATTGTTGCGTGTACTGTACATGGATAAGGTTACCTCCTATGCAGGTATAACTTCGTGTCTAAGGTTTTTCATTTTATTTTGTTTCTACTTTGGTTTTCATCATGTCATATGTGGCTTCAACCACTCAGCCACTGGGTTTTATGATTATCATTTATGCAAATGTAGGTAGAACCTGAAATCTTAACTTTCCCTAATACAGTAGCATTTTTGTAGCTTGACATACACAAACCACTGCAGACACTGCAAACTCTTTTATGTTGTAGAGGCTTTTTTTATCATACTAGTTACTATTTTTAGTTCAAGAAAACTGTTAGGTTTCAAAAAAAGAGATGTTACTCATGCTTACCTTGAGCTTAATTTGGTGCAGAGATGTCTGCATGAACTGTCTGCTTTGGAAGTAACTGTTTATTTGTTACTTTATATTCAGTTCAATGGCTTGAGAGAAGAAGTAACGAGTTTGAGCCAACTTATTTGTACACCATGGAAAAGGTAAACATTGTTTTCTCTAAGAAAATTTAGAACTATTTGGTTGGAGATATTTGTGCATCATCTTTCCCAGTGTAGCTGCAGAGCAATGTCATTTCTTTGACAAAAGATGAAAAGAAGGAAATCTCTTGATGAATTTCAAGGCTGGTGTTATAATGGCTTCATCTTTTTCTCTATAGGGTTACTTTTTGCTGCCTGAAGAAGCTAAGTCACGCCATAATATTCTCACTGCTAATATCAGCATATCAGCACGGCATCCATGTTTTGGCAACAGGTATTATTCATATCTTTAATCCCCTCCCCCCCACCCCCCCAAAAAATATATATATATATATATCGATCGTATCTTATAGCTGAATTCCTATTGTAGGTGGCAGCAACTTCTTATAAACAGTGTTGTTGGGTATGATACTATCCTGATGAACAGTTTACAAAACTCTCCTGGTCAAGGTAATGAATGTCTTTTTTTTCTGGATGAGAATCCCTAGTTATGTTTCTTTTTTTTCATGTCTCTTATATTTTGATATTAGAAAGAGTGAACTTGTATGGTTGCATCTTTAGTCTGGTGGTTCTGTGATTAACTTTTTGCTCCTTACTCTGTCGCATGTGTCGTGCATGTTTCCATCTTTAGTAATCTGGAACGTTAGATATATCATTTCCAATTCTTAGAAGAAGTGTTGACTGTTGAGTTTGACACTAACACAGTCTGTTGGGCTCCTATCAATCAGATTTTGTTCTTTCTGTCTTTGTCTCGAAATTTATTCCTTTTTTGAATTCTATGGAGTCTAATCTGGAGGAATCAGTCATTCTAGTTAAGAACTGGTTTGTTTGTAGATGTATGGAGAATGTCAGTAGCAATTTAGCAAAACTCGTTAAAGATGGCTGTTACATAGATTCATCTGTTCAGCTGATGGCTTGCATTTATTCGATTGTTTCTGATCACAAAAATGCTAATTCGGAATTCAGAGTTCACGTATTCTCATATCTAAAATATATGTATGGATTCATGTCTTTGTTTTGGTTTTATATGGTTAGATACATCATAAATAACAGTTAACATTCTATATGACTGTCAACTTTATGGATTACAGGTTATCTTTATAACTATCAGACGAAGGAGTTTTACAACCTTAGCTATGCCCATGAACTACCTAAAGATTTTGGAGGTTCGTAGTCTTTGTTTACGGGAAAAGCTTTTGTTAAAACTTATAATGCAGTTTTCTAATTATTTCAGTAGACTTTTATCATAAAATATTGAAGAATGTTGTTATTCTGTGTTTTATGCAGATTATTTGGTGACAAAATGTGGGGTGCTTATGATGTCACTTTTTGTATTCTTTACAACCACAATGTCTGTCTCGTTCACATTGAGAGAGACCCAAACACGCATGTTGAAATTCACAGGTTTTTTTTCTGTCATTTTAATCTCAGGGTGGAACTTATCCGGTCTTATTGTTAAAAACTGAAGCTTGCCCATAATTTTTAGCTTTACAGTAGGTTATGGCAAACAATTCGAAATGGCATAGGAATCAGATATTATATTCCGATCAAAAGTAATTCCGGTTCTTGGGTGTGAGGGCATGGTTTCTCTGTGAACTCAAAATGAAAATTTCTTTGGGGGCAATAAGAGAATGGTGACTTGTTATGTTAAACTGAATTCTTAAATTATGAAGCAATTCATGGTTCCTAATAATTGTACCGGGATATCCGTATTGGTTTGAGTCCGAGGGGTGATGAACGTTATATGTTTAACTGGCAATACCCTCTGGAAAATACAGATTCTTGATCGGTGTTTGTTGTAAAATTGCTCTTTACTGCCACTTTTGTTTTCCTTTGTTGCTCAAAGATCATCAGTGTTTCATATTAAATTATTACAGTGCAGCTTCAACACCATGCTCAGCATCGGCTACCAACATTTCAGTTGATCTTTGTGCATGTCATTGAATCCCTCGTCTTTGTACCGGTAATAAAGCATAGTACCGGTAATAAAGCATACATATCATCCTATTTCTTTTCTTTTTAATATTTTAGAATAGAACCCAAAAGTAATGTAATCATGATTCATGTTACATAAAATAGTTTCATCAGATTGTCTCAACTAACTATAAAACATGTTTTTCTTGTGGCAGATTATGATCGGAATCCTGTTCTTCCTGTTTGAGTTTTATGATGATCAGCTCCTGGCTTTCATGGTTCTGGTTCTTGTCTGGTTATGCGAACTTTTTACACTTATAAGGTTCCGCCCTCTTATCTTTCTTTCCCTCTGCACTTCTCTTGCATGTAACAATAACAACCTCATAGTTACTGCTTTGTATTGTGTGTGTGTGTATATATAATTCAATACTTTGATCATGTTTCTCGGGTTTTTACGAAATCCTCTCTTTTTGGCTGTGACAGTGTCAGGACCCCGATATCGATGAAGTTCTTCCCACGTTTCTTCTTGCTTTACTTCTTGGTGTTCCACATCTACTTCTTCTCCTATGCTTACGGTGAGACATTGTTTCGTGTTTGTGTTAAGTTCTTGCAAACGAGTAAAACCTGAGGTCGTTTCACTTCTTACCGTATAATTCACGACAGGTTTTTCGTATCTTGCCCTAATGACGACAGCTTCATTCATGCAACACCTCATCCTTTACTTCTGGAACCGTTTCGAGGTATTGATCAATCTCATAGCTAGGCATTTCATAGACCGAGTTTTTTTAATGGATATTCTTCGTAGGTCCCGGCGCTTCAGAGGTTTCTCCTAAGCCGGCAATCACAGTTTCAGCAGCACCCAGATTTCCAGATAACCTCTTCGACAATCCTAGCATCGACTCTTCACATCACGAGACTGAACAGAACAAGAAACCAGCCTGTTCCAAATCCAAACCCAAACCCAGGACTGAGACCAGCAGCAGCTGCGGCAGCCAGTCAGGAGAACTCAATTGCAGACGCAAACGCTCAGCCGCCAGGAGCGATGAGCGCGTTCAGCTCATTACTACTGTGGATACTGGGAGGTGCATCTTCCGAAGGGTTGAACTCGTTTCTGTCAATGTTCAGAGATGTGAGAGAAGATCAAGCCCAAGTTTATCCCCCTGACCCCTCTTCCCGACAAAACCCTTCTTCAACTACTCCATCTCCATTAGATGACTGATGCTTTTTTTCTTTTTGCATTTGTAAATGTTGTCATTGACCCATGCTTACATGGCTTCATCAAAGATATCCTTAAAATATTGTATCTACTTCATGTCATACCTGTTTAGAAAGGTATCTTTAAAAGGTGTCTTGAAGTGCATATAACATTTTAAATGTATTTTTGATATGCTTAAATGATTAAAAAAATGAATAAAAGATAAATTTTTTTACTTATAAAAAAAAGTGGAATTTTATTTTACTATTGTTTTTTTAATTTGATTTGTTGCGGATATTTGACACACGATTAAGATGTTGACATTATGACCTATAAACAGTTTTGAAAATTACCAGAGGGGAAGAAGAGTGTGTGTTCCTGAGATGGGTCTTTGTCTGAAACGGAGAAGAAGAAATCAAATTCTTTGCAACATCAATTGCATTAAATAAAGATGTTTTCTATTTCTACTTTGACTTGAGAAAATGAGGCTGTTTCTAATGAAATCAAGACTTCGTGTGTCCATTTGGGGAGGGTATGCGGTTTGGGCTTCCCGATCCTCACCGTAGGCTGTAGTTGGATAGAATCTTACAGTTGGGTTGGGTCAGATGACTAGTGATATTTCGGATTATAAAATAAAGGGAAAATTCAAAAAAAAAAAATATTGAACTTTTCGGTGTTTAGGGGTTTGGTATTGTTTTTTTTTGTCAAAATTGAAAAGTTCAGTATTTTTTTTGGATTTTTCCTAAAATAAATAAATATTTAGTTCGTATATGGGAGAGAGAGAACGACGAAAGGGATAAAAATAATTTAGGGGTTTTTTTTAATTATTTTTGTTTATTGAATGAATCTATTGAAATGGCTAATTTAATTTTAGTCCGAACCGAAAAATTATACAATTTCGGTTTGGTGACGTCTCAGGCATATAGAAAAAAGGGAAAAATGATATTTTTCTATACGAATTTATCGAAATGTGAATTTTTCATTCACAAATTTTTAATTTGATAAAAAACTATACCGAAATTCAAAAGTTTCCAAATGTCTACACCAATGATCAAATTAACCATAATTAACTACATAATCAAAAACGACGTTACAATTTTTCAGGTTCTGTTAAATGACTCGCTGATGTGAATGGACACGTGTAATTTTTGTGGCACGTGGCAAACTATGTCATTAAAAAAAGTAGTTGAAATTAAAACCTCTCGAAACTCAAATTGATTCTAGGGTTTTATTTCTTTTCGAGACCGAAACTCCTCCGTTCTCCCTTCAGACCGATTTTTTCAACAAAACTTGACAATATTGTCCGGCAAAAAAAAGATAATGTGTTCTTATTATTTAGTTTGTTTCAACTTCATGGCTATATTGGTTATATAACTTTGTCCTTTCTATATGCGTTTCCCCGGGGCTTATTGAATGTCATCCAAATAGAATTACCTTTTGTCGAAGAAATCGGTTTGAAGAGAGAACGGAGGAGCTTCGGTCTCGAAGAGAAACAAAAAACCCTAGAATCGATTTGAGTTTTGGGAGATTTTAATTTCAACTATTTTTTTAATGACATGGCTTGATACGTGGCGTATAAATTATACATGTCCATCTACGTCAGCGAGTCATTTAATAGAATTTGAAAAATTGTAATGTCGTTTCTGATTATATAGTTAATTACAGTTAATTTGATAATTGGTGTAGACATTTGAGAATTTTGAATTTCTGTGTAGTTTTTTGTTAAATTAAAAATTCGTGTATGAAAAGGTCACATTTTGATAAATTCGTGTAGAAAAATATCATTTTTCCCTCCTAAAAAAAATATCATGCAATGTCATTACTCCATCTAACGAGACCAGTTGAAATTTAATATCGTTCAAAAATATATCGAAAATTGATAATAATTTTAGAATTTGGTGTAGATATTTGTCATATTCTAAACTTACGTGTATTTTCTTACAAATTAAAATTTTGGGTAAAAAAATTGGTGTCTATATCTAAACCTCATAAAAGAATTTGAAGAAGCTAAATGGACATCCGGAACTTTAAATCAGCATTGAAGTGCATATACACAATAAATTAGCATTTTTAATAATTAGCTTATTGTTTTCATGTTATAATTAATATTCGAATTGTCTTTTTATATATCTACAAAAAGGTGTGTTTTATAATTGTAATAGATAGACGTTTGAAAATGAAAAACAACTTGATTGTTCTCTTGTTTTTTTGGATATACCAGAGAGATGTCTTAAATGGCGCTCAACTATGAACCGATATCTTTAAACTTTGCATATTCAAACTAATCTTCATTCATCTCTAGGTGAACGCACTAAACGATAAATGATTGGTCTAAGAGGTTACTCTATTCCCATAATAGTGTTCGAACCTTGATCTCTAGTTAAGAGACAAAAATATTGAACTATTTATGCCTCGGTTATTTTCAAAATAACTGAAATAACCGAACAAAACCGAAATATATTTATTCGGTTTGGTTTGATTAATAATCGATTCATTTGAGTCCTATAAATTGAGTTTTGAAAACATTCTGTGTACGATATACCCTCCTTTATAGACCTTCGTATGTTTGTAAGAACATATATACATATATAATATAATATCTCGTCGACATAGTGATATGAAAACATAATGGATTTTGTTTTATTCAGATTTTAAAAAAATATTAATTTTAAAGAGATTTTTATATAAGTTTTAAAAGAATTTTCTTTCCGTTAAATGTTTTGGATTTAGTTTAAAATTTTATTTTTGGTTCGTTTTTTTAATCCAGACATATTGCATGTAAAAAGATTAAGGGTGGTTATTTTGGTTTCGTTTCGGATTCGGTTCGGTTATTTTGGTTATAAAAAAACTATAACTATTCGGTTTCTATATAAATTTTGGTTTGGTTTGGTTTAGATTCAGTTTTTTATTATAAAAAACTATTTTTTTTTAAATTATCAGTTTTTTATATTTTTTTAATCGGTTCGATTCGTTCTGATTTTTTCGAATTTAGAGAAATCATACCTATACGATTTTTATATCGAATTTAGTTCGGTTACGTTTATATCGTGTTCGATTTTGTTCGATTCGATTATTGTGTTAATAATAAAAATAGACGGTTAAAATAAAGTTAGACAAATTCAAAGAACCAAATTTTATTTTATTTTATTTTATTTTTTCCCCTGAATTCGCATAAATAAAGTTCATGGAGGAAGGAGATGATAGGGAACACTGTGGAGAGTCTGGAGACATGTTGACGAGAATGGACAGCGTTCGTCACATCCCCAGCAGTCCGACTGTTCTTTCTCCATGTCTCTCCCCCACAAAGATTCTTCCCAGATTCTCTCTTCCTCTCCGCAAATTTTGGTCCGATGAACGAAATCGGCAGCTACGCCTCACCTCCGCAGCCGCCTCCGCCGCCGATTCTTCGCCGTTTGATATTCCGATCAAAATGGAGACATGTTGACGAGAATGGACAGCGTTCGTCACATCCCCAGCAGTCCGACTGTTCTTTCTCCATGTCTCTCCCCCACAAAGATTCTTCCCAGATTCTCTCTTCCTCTCCGCAAATTTTGGTCCGATGAACGAAATCGGCAGCTACGCCTCACCTCCGCAGCCGCCTCCGCCGCCGATTCTTCGCCGTTTGATTTCTCTCCTCCTCCTATTGATCACGACCTTCCCGTAAGCAACACCTTCTTCTTGTTCTGTCTGAAACTTGTACATATGAATATTGCGTTCATGGTTTGTCGGAGGAAATTAGGTAATGGGTTAGTGGAAATGGACATGATATTGTCGCCCACAATCACAATTGCTGCATTATAACTCACCATTTTAATGGGTTCATGAATCTTTGGGAAAGTCCAGGTACTGTAAGGAGGATCCTTTTTGTTCTTTTGAAAAACTGTAGTTAATGACAGATTGTCTGGGTGTTAAGAATCTCTCTGGTTTTTACTATTATTCTGTTTTATACATGGACAATACGTACAGTCATATCCCTGAGTGTGTATATGCTTACTGTTATTTGTACGTTTTTGAAGCTCATGGTAATGGTAGCTTTTGTTCATGGAAATGAAGGAGAAGATTAGTGTTGCTGGAGGGAAAGTTTCCAGTGATGGTGTTGTTGAGACTTTTGATAATGACGATGAGGCTTTAGATGCATTTGAAAATGGAGCAGTGGTAAGAGACTTTCCTTGTTGATACATGAAGTACTGTTTAGAATGTAAACTTGGAGGGATTAAGCTATCAATTATGTAAATCGAGTCAACCAACCTGATTTTGCAAACCTTTTGATGTTAACGTGCATAATTATAGTTCGAAATTTGACTAGGAATTAAAGGAACAATATTAGTCTCATGTATGTAACTTTTCTCATCTATGGAGTTGTAAGTATAACTAGTATGAAATTTTCCTGTTTGCGGCTCTAGAAAATTGTATACGAAATGAAGATAGGCCTTTGAGACATTTGTGGACAGTCACATTTTTCTCACTTTTACATTTCTCATATATGTCCGAGGCGAACTCTACGATCCCCCTCTGGAAAGCTTTCCACTTTATTTCTTCTGTTTGATTTCCTTCTGTTTTATCTGATTGGTTAGGTTGTTTACCTCTCACATTTTGGGAGAATACGAGGTATATCTTTATAATACTTCTTTTTCCTCATGCTTCTCAACGAAGACATCGACTTAATTCTCTTATACCTCCCTTTGTTACATATTTGGTGCAATTCCCATCAAGTTAGCGGAGATGACCGTATTCAATTCCTTCACAACCAAACGACTGCAAATTTTGAATGTCTTAATGAAGGACAGGTGTTCTTTTTAAGGCATTTTCATTTCTATTTGCATCCGGAACTGTGTTGCTCATTCTATGAAACTGGGATTCACTTATGGATTTTTGTTTGCTGATATCTGAAGGGATGTGATACTGTATTCATTTCCCCCACTGCAAGAACAATCGATATTGCATACTCCTGGGTCATGGTAATTTTACCTAGTATTATCTCTAATAATTCTTTCTTTTAGGAATGAAATTACTTACCCGTTTTGCTCCTTATTCTTTAAGGCAATTTTTACGTTCTGACCTTTACTTTTTCAGAAAAATTCTGTAGTGCTTGTGGTTTCACCGACGACATGCGGAAGCATAACTGAAATGTTGAATAAGTATGTTATATAACATTTCTACCCTGTTCCCGTCTGTTGATTTATTTTGGAAACCAAGCTTATCAAGACATAAACATGTCCTGTTTTAAGAGATGTGCCATTTGTTTTTCAATCTTATCTTTTCAGGTACATATTTTTTGCTGACAAGGTTGGGATTCAAGACATCACCAAACAAACTTCTTTACTCGTTTTAGCAGGACCTAAAAGCAACCAAGTAAGCATTTTTCCTGTCAAAAGTTTCTACTAATTCAGATATATCATTTTTTATTCAAGCATTTTATGTACTTGAAACAGATCATGGCTAACCTGAACCTGGACGATCTTATTGGGCAGCCATATGGCAATCATCGGCATTATAACGTAAGCATGTAGAATTATATCTTCAGCCTCTCATTTTCTGGGACGATAGGAAATATTATTATTGACAAACAGGAAATGATATATATATATATATATATATATATGTATGGTCTTATAGTTTTTCTTGTGATCGCTAAAGTTTTCAACTTTGCAAAATCCAATATGATATAGTGGGAATATCTTTTCTATGTTTGGCAGATAAATGGAATGCCAATAACGGTCGGGGTAGGAAGTATCGTTTCGGATGTAGGGTTTTCCATGTTAATGTCACCATCTGCTGCTGTGTCTGTCTGGGAGACTCTTTTATCTCAGGGTGCCATTCCAATGGGTTCCGTCGCTTGGGAAAAACTAAGAATCCTTCAGGGTTAGTAAAAATATTACCTTTACTGGGTAATTGTTGCCAGAAATTACCTATAAATCTGCAACTTCTGGTCTTTTTTCTTCAAGCTATAAGAAACCTTCAGGGTCAGTAAAAATATTACCTTTACATGGTAATTCTTGCTATAAATTACCTACAAAATCTGTAATTTCTGGTCTTTTTTCTTCAAGCTATAAGAATCCTTCAGGGTCAGTAAAAATATTGCCTTTACTGGGTTATTGTTGCTAGAAATTACCTATAAACCTGCATTTTCTCCTTACTGGGCTCTTGTTGCTAGAAATCACCTATAGACCTGCAATTGCTGGTCTTTTTTCTTCAAGTTATAAGAATCCTTCGGGGTCAGTAAAAGTATTTCCTTTACTCTGTAATTGGTTCTAGAATTACCTAAAAATCTGCAATTTCTGGTCTTTTTTCTTCGAGTTACCTTTTTCTGCATAGCAGTTTGAGATACAGAAAGACTGATATCGTTTCTCAGTCAGCGTCACGGGAGAAGATGCGAGATGGATATGTATCTTAGGCTGAAGATGTCGGTGTTTTGCAGGAAGACCGGCTCCCGAGAAGGAACTCGGCAAGGAATTCAATGTTCTGGAAGTGGGTTTGTGGAATTCGATCTCTCTGAATAAAGGTATCTGATTTCCTCCTCCGATTTTGAAACATCTTTC